GGTAAGGTTTTAGCTGGAGTGTCATGTCCAGTTTTGGGAACCACACTTTGAGAAAGATGTGGACGAACTGCAGAGAGTCCAGAGGAGAGCAACACAAATGGTAAGTAATTTAGAAAACATGACCTGTGAGGAAAGATTGAAAGAAATAGGCATGTTTTTGGCAAGAGAAGACTCAGGGGGAGAATTTATAACAGTCTTCAACTATGCGAAAGGTTGTTATAAAGAGGACTATGATCAATTGTTCTCCATGTCTACTGAGGATAGGACAAGAAATAATTGGTTTAGTTTGCAGCAGGGGAAATTTAGGTTGGATATTAGGAAAAGATTTTGAACTATGAGGATACTTAAGCACTAGAGCACGTTACCTAGAGGCTGTGGAAGAGAAAATTACTGATGTTATAACAACAGGAGGTTCTTTAAAATGTATGGTCCCTATCTGTAATCCCCCGTGGGTATGCATGTGGTCCATGCACCTGTACTCAGAGAACTTTGAAAGCAGTGTTCATTGGTCCACGCACACGCCCTTGCTCACCTTGTGCCTCCAAGGAGATAAAAGGGCAAAGTGGACTAGCCACCTGTCCAGTTCCTTCTCTACTGCAAATCCAATGATGCAAAGCAGAGGGAAAGGAGGGTGGGTAGTGGAATACAGATAGGGACCACACAGCTCAAAGAACCTCCACTTACTATAAGGTAAGTAACTTTCTCTTCTTCTCTGAGGGGTGGACCCTATATGTCCTCCATTGTGGGGACTGACAAGCAGTCAGGATGCAAATGCTATGAAACTTTGTCTCCATGGAGTGTGATGTAAGGTGGATCCACCATCAGTGCTCCAAGATCACTCACTGCTGGAATGATTAATAATCTTTGAAATTATTAATATGGAAAACCACTAATTTAACCATTGCGGCAGGGCACTGCAAGAGAAGCCCTTAATCAGCTCCTGCCACTCCAGGGCTGGGTGAACTGCCCTGTGTTTACCCGGTAACTGACCACACCTGCCAGCCTCATTAGCAGGACCTATAAGGCTGGAAGGAAGTGAGAGAAAGGGTGTGTGTGTGTGTGGAGACTAGGAGTGGGAGGTCAGGCTCAGAGGGAGTAGACGCCTCCTAGTCTGCTGCTGGCCAGGCTTGTGGTAGGCCAAGCAGCTGTAAAGCCTGTATATAGCTGGAAAGGGATCACAAATAAAGAACACAGGTGTTGCACCAGACTGAAGTGCCCCTGATTCATGGAGGAGAGGGCCCAAGGGGCCGAATCCAGAGGGGCGCAGTGTGTACCCCATTACAACCATAAATTCCTTTATTAAATCCAAAGAAACTTATACAATTACTCTAAACATGCCTAAAAAGCCTAAACAATAAGCAATGCATCCAAACAGTAACAAAACATGTATAAGCATTTGATCAAGATACTTACAAATGGGCTACAAGCAAGGAGTGCTTAGACCCATATTGGTCGGCTCCGGCTTGGTCAGGCAGGTATTAGCAATGAACCCTTTAAGAATTTACTATTTATATCTTATAAAACAAGTTATGTCACTGCCAATTACTGATTTCAGCAAAAGACAATTGGAGACAGTTCACCCTTATTTCCAGCCTTAATCCAGGTAAGATTTACAACCTCCTTTCTTTCCCAGGCCTTTCCTCCCTCCTTCTTGCTGTCCAACAGTTTTCCCATTGCACCTGGGTTCACACAAGCATTAACACTGGTA